AATCTATTATTGAAATTACCAGTAAATTTATCATCAATTTAAATATGAAAAATCTAATAATAATACAAAAATTTCAAAATATAAAAAATAAAAAATAATTAAAAAAACTAACCCTCGGTGGTTGATTTTCCATTTGTGGTCGTGAATGGTTGTGAGGGTGGCTCTGAGAGATGGAGATAGAGGGGGTCGCCAGATATGTGGACAGATTTCGCCGGAGATGGGGACGAATGTCGTCGTAGAGAGTGAGAGATGAAGATGAGACTGAGTTGTGATTTAGGGTTTTATGTTATGATTTGCGATTATACTGTTTACATTTGTGTTGCGAAATTAATATTGTGTTTCGAATTCGAAAATAATATTCTCGTTGCGATTTACATATTCGCGTTGCGATTTTGGAAAATCGTGTTGCGATTTACATATTATCGTTGCGATTTACCTATTCGCGTTGCGAATTTGACTTTTGCATTGCGATTTACATATTATCGTTGCGATTTATCTATTCGCGTTGCGAATTTGAGATCGCGTTACGATTTTGTTGGTCATTTTCGCAAATCCAAAAAAAATTTGGTTAAAATCGTATATTATAAGGCATTTTCGGTCACTGAAGTTATTTTCTCGTTTACTTTTTTTCTACCGAAGAAAAAGCGCTTATGATTTGTCACTAAAAAAGATTATCGTGCCACATGATAAAACAATAATATTTTAAAAATTCTTACTCTTGGTTATGCATTTAGAAGAATTATAATTTTTAATAAAAAATTATAAAATATGAAATAAAAATAAACAATAATTAGGGGTGAGAAAAGCTCGACTCAACTTGAATTTTTTTCAATTTTAAGTTATTCGAGCAACTCGAATTATCAATTCGATTTTCGAGTTCGAGTCGAGTTGGAATTTCAAAATTTAAAGTAACTCGAAAAATCAAAATTTTGGATGAATATTTTGACAAATTTGTGATTTAGTCCCTAATTTCCTATTCCCTACCTTTCTCCTCCATTTTAAGTACATTTTTTTTACTAAATTTGAATCACATATTCCTATAAATCATCATATAATACATATTTACTTTCAATTACACTTTTGGATATCAAATTTTCTATTTGTTCAATTTAGTCTGTGAATTTTACATGATTTCCGTATTTCTTCAATTCATCCTTCATTTTAAGCAATGTTTTTTTTATCAAATTTAAACCACATACTCCTCTACCACTAGAATACATATTTTACTTAAATTCTTTTTTTAACTAAAAATTACTCTTTCTTTTTAATTTAGTCATTTAACTTTGTATTTTACTCAATTTAATCTTTTGACTACAATTGTTTACGAATTCTTTCTTCATGCCAATTCTTTGACTCCTCTATACTCCTATCATATTTTTTATCCTCAAAATATTTTCTTTAAAATATAATATTTTTAATATATTTTATAATTTTAGATTGTATGTGATATATTAAATAACATTATATTGTGAAAAATACGAAGAAATATATATATATATATATATATATGTATGTATATGTATATGTATATGTATATGTATATGTATATGTATATGTATATGTATATATATATGGTTAAAGAAATTCAAAAAATTGAAACAAGTATGTATTATAATACCATAAATAATTATAATTACATTTATATAGAAACTCGAACAACTCGACTCGAAAAATTTTCAAGTTAATCTCGAGCTATAAAATATGACTCATCAACTTGAATAACTCAAATTTTTTTGACTCAACTTGATGGAATGCTGACTCCTAATACAACCGGCTCTTCAATTTTGTAAGATTTCACCTTACAGTGTATCGTTTTGCATTCAGGACTCGTGAACAACAATAGTTCATATTGGAATACTCGGCAAACTCAAGAGGGTGGAGAGAATAAGTAGGAGAAAAAGAAAAGAGGTTCTCAATTTAAAATCATCAATTAAATCATTTACTATTTTTTTTTTTGACTCTATCGAAAGTAAAACAAAAGCATTGTTAATAGGATATGTATGAGACCCGAACCCGACGGCTTCCAACCAAATCCAATCCGATCAGGTTGGGTTTTTTTAAATCGGATTCGGTCGGGTCAGATTCGAGTTTATGGTGAAAATAGCCGATAGGGGAAAATATACTTTTATCTTATATATTTAAGAATAATTACAATAATTCTCTCTATATATTATTTTTTTCAATTAAATCATTATTTTTATTGAATAAAAATAATTTTTTTATTATTTCGGATCGGATCGGTTTTGATTTTATCTCAAAATGTCGGGTAGGGTTCGGGTCGAGGGTATATATATGCGGGTCGAGTCGGATTTCGGGTGGAGGAATCATTATTCTCAGGTCAGGTCGGGTGGACCAAAAATCCGACCCAACTCGACCCATCCACGTCCCTAATCGTTAAAATGTGGGACTTAATTCTTGTGCAAGCGAGCTCATCATCTTAATTTGGCTCTTACAAGTCTCATCATATATCATGGCTTATAAATAAGATTCTCATGGTTTCTTTAAGGAAATGTGAGATTTGATTAATCTGAAACATCTTATTTTTTATAACAATATCTCACATACTTCAAAGAAAAAATAATAATAAATAATTATTCCCTATCTTTAATTTAGAATATCATAAATCATTGTATCCAATTAACTAGTGGATTTGCTATCTTCTGGATCAGATATCCAATTAAGATCATTGTATCTTTTTAATGTAACGGGAAATCGACAAATCATAATATCATAAATCATTATTTTTGGATATATTAGTAACTTTACTACGGTGGTGTTTGTTTTTACAGAGGTAAAAGGTCTGCAGCAGAAGAGGTGGACCAAAAGTCTGCAGTCTGCAAGAAGAACACTGTTTGTTTTTTAACGTCTACAGACTGCTAAAATGAACTGAAATATAAATAAACTGATTTTTAAACTTAAAAGAGTTTTGCAATACTGAGATTTAAATAATTTTAGTTTTACAATACTGAAATTTAAATAATACATACAACTACAATAATAAATTATTTAAAATAAATCAATCAATATTTTAAAATAAATCAATTCATACTAATAAATTATTTAAAATAAATCAATCCATACTAATAAATTATTTAAAATAAATCAATCCATATTTTAAAATAAATCAATCCATACTAATAAATTATTTAAAATAAATCAATCCATACTAATAAATTTTTTAAAATAAATCAATTCATATTTTAAAATAAATCAATCCATACTAATAAATTATTTAAAATAAATCAATTCATATTTTAAAATAAATCAATCCATACTAATAAATTATTTAAAATAAATCAATCCATACTAATAAATTATTTAAAATAAATCAATCCATACTAATAAATTTTTTAAAATAAATCAATTCATATTTTAAAATAAATCAATCCATACTAATAAATTATTTAAAATAAATCAATTCATATTTTAAAATAAATCAATCCATACTAATAAATTATTTAAAATAAATCAATCTATATTTTAAAATAAATCAATCCATACTAATAAATTATTTAAAATAAATCAATCTATATTTTAAAATAAATCAATCCATACTAATAAATTATTTAAAATAAATCAATCCATACTAATAAATTATTTAAAATAAATCAATTCATATTTTAAAATAAATCAATCCATACTAATAAATTATTTAAAATAAATCAATCCATACAATTATTTAAAATAAATCAATCCATATTTTAAAATAAATCAATCCATACTAATAAATTATTTAAAATAAATCAATCCATATTTTAAAATAAATCAATACATACTAATAAATTATTTAAAATAAATCAATCCACGTTTTAAAATAAATCAATCCATACTAATAAATTATTTAAAATAAATTATTTTAAAATAAATCAATCCATATTTTATAATAATTTATTTTATAATAATTTATTTTAAAATAAATTATTTTAATAAATAACTATATTTTATAATTGTTCTTGAAGATGTTTGAAGTCCTTTGAAGACATAAAACCAAGTCTGCACCAAAAAGAACTCACGCAGACGTTTGAAGAGCTTCTGTCTTCTAAAAAACAAACAGTCTGCGAAGCCTAATGTCTGCGCGACGCAGACATAAGTGATTTGAAGAGCTTGCACAATGAAAACAAACACCGCCTACATCGACACAATACTTATGATTAAGGTGGTGTGTATGCTCGCTCAATTGACAAACAATTTATGTTGTCTTAGGGTCTAGTAAAATTCATCAAGTGCATCGAACTCTTAATAATTTATGCATACATGGATTGAGCAACATGATTACATTATTTCTTCTTAGATGGGTGTTAAAATCATCTTAATCAATTGAAGCTTACTTCAAGATATATAATAATTTAAAACATTTTACACATTTTAATTTTTATTGCCTAATTCAACCCATCTTCCAGGTTGTTTCATACAAATTTATTTTTTTAATGTTATAATTTAATAATTTATTAATAATTTTTTCTTAATCATTCTCAACTTATACATTTTGTATATGCTACACCTTCAATCCAAAATCTCTATAAAAAAATAAAACTATTTTTTAATATCGACTTTGTTTGATGGATTTATCTCCCGCTTATACTCTTGCTGTTACATTATTTTGTGAATTTGTAGTTGATATATTTATGTTACCAAGAAACTAAATAATTATATATCATAAAAATAAAAATTTCACCAAAAATTGTTAAGATAAATTAAGGCCATATATCTTATTAAAATAAATTCAAGAAAAATCCAAATTTATAAAAATTTGAATAGGATACTTTAAAAGAACCTTGACCTCTCCCTACGGTGGAACTAAGGACTCATCGACACCTTGTATTTTTATTACAAAAGTAAGAACGAGACGCAAAAGTTTAAAAATAAAATATTAAATAATTTTAATTTTTTATATTTATTTTAATCTTCAAACTTATATTTTAACCCATTTTCAGTCCTCTTAATAAAATGGCACTCATGACATAATGTCACCAATGTTGTATTATCAAGAGGGCAAAAAATAGATAAGAAAAAAAATATAACTTAAAAGCTTTAAATCTAAAAAAATTTCTCAAATTTAGAAGCTAATAGTTAAAAACCTTGCCCCACCACCTAGAGTACCCAACGATCACAAGTCACAGCTACCAACGGCGATCATCGGCGGCGCCGTCGATATCCCAGGAAAGGTCGAGGTGGGTTGATACAAAAAATGTCCCGTAGATTGAGATCCTGAGCTTCAATTCTTTGGAAAGCGTCCCTCATCAAGGGATCATTTTCCACCTCAACGAGACGATCGTGAACCAACAGATTAGCAAGGGAATTGAGGGCAAACTGTCGCCTCAACTCCTCCCTAATAGTTCGATTTCGCTCCTCCATCACCGCCGCCGCAGCTTCCCATGCTCCCAATGATTCCAACGCACGCCTATTACGCCGTCGACTCCCGGCCAGTCTAACTCTCAGATCTCTAAGCGAACGCCCCTGTTTTCAAAAATTATAACCGATAAGTAAAAACTCATTAAGTGGTCTCAGATTAAGGGAAATACTAGAAAAAAAAAAGAAGAAGAAGAAGAAAAGAAACTAGAGGGAAGCTTACCAGTATGATTCGGGATCGATGTTGCAAAAATTGGCGAAAGAAAAACCCAACCATTCCGAGAAGGAAGAAAAGGATTTTGCCTACTTTGGTTCGATTGAAGAGAATTGTAGTGATTCAGCTCGCTTATGAGTTTCTGTTTTTGGAGCTTGGCCCCCTTTAAAACAAAAAGTCTTCTCCTTCACTCATAAGATTTCGATGCCATGGGTAAAGTAAATCGGAGGATGCTTAACTATGTTTAAATGATTGTTTTGGTCATTATACTTTTGAAAATTACAAACTAACCGATAAATTCATCAAACATTATCATTATTTTTATAGAATTATTACAAAATAATCATTTCTTTTTATCAAATCATTAAAAAAGGATCATCAAACTTATAAAATACTTAAAATTTTTGTAATCTCGTAATGATTATTTTGTAACATTTTGATACATATAGTGACTATTTTACAAATTTAATAGCAAAAAAAACATTTACTCATAGTTTAGTGATCTAAAATGTAATTTATACTAAAAACTTCCGATCAATTACTTGTAGTCCCAATTCCCAACTCTCAAGTAGACCTATTATTTGATATATGTACATGAAGACATCATTAATTTTAGAGCTAGACAATTTAGCCCCTGCAATGTGAAAATTTAATTGTCCCTCACCGTGGTCCAATATGTTCTTATTGCCAACCCTATAGATTGCTTCAAGAATTAATTTTTACTCACTGAAAATCCTTTTCGCAACTTACTAAATTTTATGTTGTAATCCGGGACGGACATATAATTTTATATTAAGGAGTGAATTTTTAAACTTTTAGAAAATGATGAACTTACAAAATTCATAGGAAACGAAAACAAAATTTCAATAAAATGTATATATAAAAATCTAAAATGTATGATGATTTTAAATTTTTAGAAGGACTATTGCTCCACTTGTCCTCTCGATTTATGACGGGTTATAATAGTGTTGGATATTACGTTTCAAAAAAATTATATATGACTAATAAAATTGTAATAATATCATAGACAATTTGCAAGGACGTCTAAAAGATTTCGTTCAATGTTTAGTCTCATGAAAATGTTGAATTCATATTTTGCCTCTGTCTAGAAAAGAAGTCAAGCCTGCGAAAATATCAAAGCTTTGCAGCTATCCCTTTCTTATGAAAATCTTCGTTCTTATCCCTTTATTTATTTTTGGAACAGTGTCGCAAATTACAGTTATACTTTGCTCAAACATCTAATATGATATTTATTCTTTAAAAACTTTTATTTTAGTCAGATCATCAATTCATGAATTATTATGCTACATGCAGTTAACCTCATTAAAAGATATTAGCAAACCAATTGAATTTAAACAAATGAAACATCAATTACAGAAATTTAACCTTCAACTTCTCCAAAATTTTAATTTTATTATTTGTTCAATCAGATACTAATATGTGTTATCAATCAATTGGGAAATATGTCTTAAATAGTAACCATTTGTTATTGTTGTAAAATATGTTGATTTTTTCAGAAGAATATAAAGAATCTATATCATTTGTGAAAAGCTATTGACTGATTTAAATACAATCTCTAGTTATTGAACCTGTTACAGCAAAATGAAAAAGGTGGCATAAGATCAAAGCCCAAAAGTCCAAATCACTGCAACTACGAGAGTGCAATTTGTTTTAAAAAACATTACTTTCGATTTTATTTTTTTAACATCACTCTTCATCATACATTCGATTTATTATTATTATTATTCTTATTATTATTTTTTGATAGAGTAAGACAAGCAGCTACAGGCTAACTAATTAGTTTCTTCCTCTTGAATCAGTGCTTCCACCATGGGTGGAGGTTCCAGGAGTAGTTGAAGGTCGAAGTTTCTGATTGGCGTGAGCTTGGCTAAGGCAACAAAAATCTATGGAGCGCCATCGTGTGCAGTACTGTTTAGTAGCTTGATAGCATCCAGGTTTTCTGTTTCCACTTCTAGTTGGTTAATTCCTCTATTCCAGGTGATGGACATTCCAGTATATACCCCACACAGTTCAGCTTCATGCACCAAACAGACTCCCATGAATTTATGAAAACCCGCTATTCATTTACTGGTGTGGTCACTGATTATACCCCTAGAGGTTGTGTTTCCATTACTTGGGTTGCGGCTCGCGTCAGTATTAGCTTTAAACTAGCCTACTAGTGGTTTCGTCCATAGCACGCTTGTTTCCTGGCTGCTGGCTTTTCTTTGTCTCTTTGTGTTGAATATAGCAGCTTTGAGTGGCAATTATAATTGTACACATGTCAAAAGCTGACTGCTCAGCTGATTGCACTAGGTGGTTAGGTTGGTGTGAAGTTGTTAGGATTGTTAGACAGTTAAGTAGCTGCTTAAGCAAGCAAGCTACATGGTCTTTACAGTGCTATATATAGAGCACATTTACTTCATTGTAAAGTGATCTGGTTTTATCAATTGAGTAAATAAGTTGTTTAAGCTTTATTTCTTTCTAGTTTCTTAATATGATATCATTCGCTAAAAGTTCTGGCTCCTAGTTTCCGTTTGCGGTGATGGTTCTTGAAAGTCCGACTCTCTCCCTAGCCTCTAGAGGTAGTTCGGTTGTGCGGTCAGTCATGTTCACTAACAAGAAGGTGAACGTTGTCTTGGACTAGATGAATTTCTTGCTTTGGAAGCAGCAGGTGTTGCTCTCACTGTTCACAGTCATCGTCTGGAGCGGCTGTTGAATGGTTTGATGCCAGCGCCACCGGAAACCATTGTTGATCAAAATGGTGAGGTAGTTTTTAATGAGGTGTTTGAGGATTTTGTGGCGCAAGATAGTGCGCTAGCGTCCTGGTTGATGTCTACCATCAGTCCTCAATTGTTACCTCTATTTGTTGGTGTTGAGACTGGGACTGCAGTTTGGAGTAAGGTGATTCAATTCTTTGCCACTCGTTCGACCACGACGGTGATGAATCTGCTGTATAAGCTTCAATCTCTTAAAAAAGGAGATGATAACATGCGTGTCTATCTCACTCGTGTTAAGGAAGTGTGCGATGCGCTTGAGTCATGTGGCAGTTCTGTTGCTTCGGTTGAAAAGATTATGAGTGTGTTAAAAGGTTTACCTCGAGAATATCAGTTGTTTATGACCGTTATAACCACTATGCGTAAAAATCTCACTCTTGATGTTGTTAGCGACATGCTGATTGTTGCTGAAACTCAGATGGCTGGCTTTGATTTTCCAGTAGACAATCTCCCAATGAGTGCTCATGTTGCACAAGTGACAAATCATCATATCTCCGATTCCAGATCTACTCAGGATTTTAATCGCAAATCGTACTCTGGTTCTTCATGTGGTCGATCTGGTGGTCGTGGTAGAGGTTGTCCACGAGTGCAGTGTCAGCTCTGCGGCAAGGTTGGTCATCTGGTTCAATAGTGTTGGTATCGATTTGATCGTGACTTTCTTGGTGATGATAGTGACACTTCACGTTATAAATATGGTCCTGGAAATGCTAATTTGATTGAAAATGTTCAGTATGATTGTTGTGCAACACTAGTGAAGGACGATCCACTGAGTCTCCCTCAAGCTAACGTAGTGTCTACCTCTCATGAGCACTGGGTGGTTGTTTCCGGTGCCACACATCATGTGATTCCTGATGTTAGCAACATTGCTCATCTTTCTGATTATAGGGGACCAGGTAATCTTTTAATTGGTAATGGTGTTCCTCTTTATGTGCAAACTGTTGGTAATGCTTTCTTGTCTTCTCACTCACAAGCATTGATGTTGAATGATATTTTGCATTTGCCTAAGATAACTAAGAATCTCCTCTCGGTGTCCAAGCTTGCTAGGGACAATCGTGTCTTCTTTGAGTTTCGAGCTGATGACTGTTGTGTTCGTGATGAAGTTACTGGTTGCGTTCTTCTTCAAGGCAAGCAGTGTGGTGGCCTTTACTCATTTGCACTGGCTAATGACTCGACCTTCTGTGAGCTTGCTAGGGTTAGTGTAGCTACTGCTCCTGATTTATCTGAGTTGTAGCATAGGCGCTTAGGTCATCATTTTTTTAATACTTTGAAGACTGTTTGTAATCATTTGCATGTACATATTTCAAATGATTCTAATACAATTTGCGCTGCTTTCTGTGTTGGGAAAAGCCATGAGTTTCCCTTTGATTCCTCTCAAACTGTGTACACTGAACCTTTCCAAATTGTTTTCTCTAATTTGTGGGGTCCCTTATCTACTCCTTCTAATGGGTTTAGGTACTATGTTTCCTTTGTTAATGTATGCACTCGTCATACTTGGTTGTACTTGCTGCATGACAAGTCTCAAGTTGTAATTGCATTTCAGTTATTTACGAGCATGGTTGCCACTCAATTTGCTTTACCCATTAAAGCCATTCAAAGTTACTGGTGTGGTAAATATAGACCATTGAGTAGTCTTCTGGCCAATGAGGGAATTGTTCATCATGTAACGTGTCCATACAAGTCTGAATAAAACCGGGTTGTGGAGCGAAAACATCGCTACTTGATTGAGCTAGATCTCGTTAGTTGGCTCAAGATTCTTTACCCTTGAAGTTTTGGTCTTATGCATTAATCACTGTTGTGTATCTTATTAATAGACTTCCTACACGAGTGCTACAGGGTGTTTCTCTGTTTGAAAAGTTTTTTCATAAGCAGCCTAATTATAAGTTCATGAAAGTGTTTGGTTGTCGATGTTTTCCTCAATTGCTATTGTTTCACAAGCACAAGCTTATGTTTCGATCCCAGGAGTTCACATTCTTAGGCTATATTCCTCAGCACAAAGGATTTCAATGTCTTGCTCCTGATGGACAGGTCTATATATCTCGTCATGTGAAATTTGATGAAATGGTCTTTCTTTATATAGCTTCATCCTCACAAACCTCAAGTTCTACATCTGGCCAAAAGTTTCCTGCATTATATGTGGACATGCATTCACAAATTTTACGTGTGCCTAGGGTTTCTTCACGTATGCATGCTTCTCCTGTGGTCTCACCTGCTAATGCTAGTCCTCTTGTTGTTCCTGTTGTTCCTTCTGATTCAGTTTTACCATCTGGTGAGGACACATCTGTTACTCATTCTTAAGCATTTGTACCTGTACATGTTGATTATGCATCTGATGTGGGGTCTTACAATGAGTCTCGGGTGCTTGAACAACCGA